TAAATGTTGATAGATCCACTGTTGGAAAACGTCTACACGCAATGGGAATGGTGCAAAAAGAAGGAAATTGGGTGCCATACAAATTGAAAGAGAGAGACATGAAAAGACGTTTGGTCATCTGCGAGATGCTTCGTCAATGACAATAAAGGAAGGGTTTTCTACATCGTATCGTAACTGTCGATGAAAAATGGATCTACTATGATAATCCTAAACGCTTGAAGGCATGGGTGATGCTAGATGAACCAAGTCCATCAACACCAAAACGAAATATCCATGCTTCGAAGATTATGTTGTGCATCTGGTGGGATCAAAGAGGTATTATATATTATGAGCTGCTCAAACCGTCCGAAACCATCACTGGCGATCGTTATCGGTTACAACTGATACGTTTAAACCAAGCTTTAAAAGAAAAACGACCGGAATGGGACAACAGGCACAACAAGCTGATTCTGTTACATGACAACGCTAGGCCACACGTTGCAAAACCGGTCAAGAAATACTTGGAAGGAGTAAAGTGGGAAATTCTGCCCCACCCGCCGTATTCACCGGACATTGCCCCTTCAGATTTCCATTTGTTCCGATCCATGCAATCGGCCCTTTCTGGAGAACGATTCAATTCTTATGAAGGTATCAAAAAATGGCTTGATGAATAAATCGCTTCAAAAGAACCAGATTTTTTCATTTGAGGAATCCGTTTATTACCGGAAAGGTGGGAGAAAGTTGTCGCTTCCGAAGGAGCATACTTTGAATAAACTCACTTATATAGATTTGTTATATTTGTAAATAAATACATCTTTTTCATTTAAAAAGGGCGGAAACTTATTCTCATACTCAATATATAAAATATATATTATACATTGTGTTATTAATAATGTGTACATGCGTGTACTTACTCTTTAAATCAGTCATAATCACTAATTATCCAGTGGCATACTTGGCATTGGATGATCAGTGAAGTTCAACTAAGAAACGAAGAATGAGCATTATATACAATAACTAAAATACTGATATTTGCACATTGATTTGAATCTTCCAATCATCATATTTATTGAATCTATACACTAAAACAAAATTAGTTAGATCATATAATAAAGATTAGCTAGGTTGGAGATTTCACATTTCACTGATTATCAGGGGCATTAATATTTTGGCACTAATATCAGTCATTATCCATTGATTCAGAATTAAAGAATACATACTCGTATACAAAGTAGTATACAAAATTTATTTTAAACTTTACGGGCAAATATTTTTAAAATATTTAATTTTTAACAAATATTTAACAAATATTTAACAAACATTGCAGTAACGGTAAAATGTCCTCCTTTAAAAATATTACGATGCAATATTGCAGCAATATTATAAAATAATATATTTAACAATAATACTTTATATGGTGTAATAATTGATATTTTTCAATTATATGAACAATTTGTGGGGCATGTGTACAAATGCTAAACGTAGCAAAAATAATTATATAAATAAATTTGCAATGGATCATCATAATAATGACATTATAATTGGATCATTATAATAAGGAATATTTTTTGATAAAATTGCATATAATCAAAACAATGTCTGTGAAAGATAAAGTAAATTACTTTGTATAATTACAATTACAATAGATTTCCACCCATGAGGTATTATTGTTGACGCGTTTTTTCCTTTATAGGCCTATTCCACTTTGCCGTGTATTACTTGCTACATGCTGATCAACTTGCTACATACCGATGCTATGGATAATAAAAAAGTCAACATACATTCCGATAAAGAAATAAATATAAAACAGAGTTTCACATAATATCACTTACAATCCGGATATGTTCTCAGCGAAGATAATTTGAAAAAAGATGCCTTAGATCGGCGCCAAATTGCAATAAAAGACTAGCAACAGCAAGATGACCGTCTTTATACGCGATTGTGAAGATTCCTGGCTCTCCTTATCTAGCATTGTGAGCGTGAACATCCGCCCCAGATTCCAATAAATATTGAACAAGATTCTCCCGCTGCAGCCTCCATCAAAAGAATACCAAGCTCAATATCCGCTCTCTTGATTAAAAGATCGGCTATTTCTAAAAGTAAACGAGCTTGTACTTTTATGACCGTTTATTGATGCCGCAATAAAAGCGATGCATCTTGTGGGATTTATACTCTTGATTCGTGTCAGTTTCTAGCAATAAACAGACCATTTCTACAGGTTCGTTAAAACAGGACAACGTCAATGTGTCTTTTCAAATTTATTAGACCGTGTATTGATGTCGTTCTTGTGTTCAAGTAGGACTTTGGCGATGAAGATGCCCGGCGATTCTTGCCCGGCGGATGTTTGCTGCTTCCATCAGAGGTGTATGGCCGTTCTCATTATAATCTTCAACATCGACACTCGAGTCTAATAAGACGCGTACCACTTCTTCGTATCCACCAGCACATCCGTATATGAGAGTTGTGTCATCCGATGTAGATTGAGCATTAACATCAGCTCCGTGAGCTATCAGCAACGACACGATATTTACACGCCTGCTGCTTCCATTAAAGGTGTCCATGAAACGACCGTTTTCATTGTATCAACATTAGCTCCCCAATCTAATAAGATACGTACAACTTCTTCTACATGCCCGGCACTTGCTACTACCATTAAAGGAGTATGACCGTCTTCAGTGTGATCTTCAACATCAGCACCTGAGTCTAATAAGATACGTACAATTTCTTCATGTCCGGCGCATCCATATATGAGATATGTGTTACATGATGCAGATCGAGCGTTAACATCAGCCCCGTGAGTAATCAAGCATGATACAATATCTATGTATCCTGCACTAGTAGCTACCATCAAAGGGATGCGAGTGCCATCGAAGTCTATCTTGATGTCACAATCTCCTATATCCATTGTAGCGTTCATTCGTCAGGAGTACTTGAGTCAACAAATTGCAAAATTGTGCAGGAATTGATTGAAACACAAAATACCGTTACGCGTAGATTATGCTACGCTGCACCTGAAGTAATGGCGGTGTCTAAGGAAGCGTCTTGAATACGGAATAAAAAGAAGGAGATCAAACTCAAGAATGAAAATGTCGGAAAACTCATGGAAAATCGGAACAATGCGATTTTAGTGCCGTTGCGGGAAACGTTGGAAGTATATAGCACATGATAGCGTGTACGGAATACATATGTATGCACGTTTTATTTTTAATACATAAATTTGTATAAAAGTTAATTTTATTTCATTAAATGATAAATGCATCAATATTTTTTGAAAAATATATACATTTATGCATAGTCATAAATTATTGTTTTTCAACTTACCGACATCAAAAACCTTTGAAATTAAAAAGAATAAAAATGAGACTTGAATGACAATTGTCCTTCTCAGAATATATTCTACGCATGAAAATACACAAATTTACAGAATTATAGGAAAATGGGAGGAAAAATATTTATCAAATTCTTTAAGAGAATACTGGAGTGTTTTGTTTTATTTTTAAAGACTCTTTTCTTTTAATTCCATTAATTATTAAAGACTCTTTTCTTTTAATTGTGTTTATGGATTGAAAAATCCTTCTCCACAATTAAAGTAGCGACAACAACGCAATTCGCCAGCTACATTTGAATATGAAAAACGAAAGAAAATTGAAGACTTACAAATTTTGTTATCGGCTTGTGCAGTCAACACGTCACAATATATGCTGCATAAAAGTTTCAGATCTTGCACGTTTATAAAAAATAGCTGGCGAATTGGAGAAAACCTGAAAATACAATCCTATGTTTTTAGAAATGAAGTAGGGGTTTTAATATAAGAGAAAAGTATATCCGAAAATTTCGTTTGTATTACAAGTGAAATTGACGTGAAACCGAGCAGTATTTTAGTTCCGCGATATTCCGACAGCGGCGCTGTCATGAAAAGTGCGTTGCTGAATCATAGAAATAATCTGAATTATCGACTTACTCAGACCCATATCAATAAACGTTCTTACGTGCCCTGGTCAAAGTTTTTTCTTTTGAGAGGAAAAATAATAATAAAATAAATATGATATTAGTTATTTCAATTTTGTTGAAATAATTTCTTCTTAAACAAGAAATGTACCATATTATTTACATATGAATATAAATGAAGATAATTATTTTAATTGCACTGTTCTGTCTTTTACATACATTTTATTTAGTAAATTATTGATGCATATATATATATATAAAATAACATATATATGTATATGTATTGAGAGTGTGAATAAGTTCTCGCCGTTTCACCATCAGATGCGGTATAAAAAGTTTGTGTGTATAATTAAAGATGATGACGCCTCTATATTGAAGTTCTATAACCTATGTTTAAAATCAGTGCGTGTCTTTCCTTTATCCTATAAAGAACATTTTCTTTTCGTACCATAAAACATGTCAAATTTCGTGCCAAATAAACCGTTTTTGCGGGGAATTTTACTGCACTATTTTATTCAGAAGAAATCTGCAGCTGAAGCGCACAGAATTCTTGTAGAAACCTATGGTGATCATGTTTTGTCGGAAAGAACATGCAGAGATTGGTTTAACCGATTTAAAAATGGTGATTTTAATCTTCAAGATAGAGAATGCAGTGATGCATCAAAAAAGTTTCGAGACGAAGAACTGGAAACATTACTTGATGAAGATCCATGTCAGACGCAATCCGACATTGCAAAATTATTAGGAGTTGATCGAACAACAGTTTCAAAACGTCTGTCAGCATTAGGAATGATACAAAAGGAAGGATCTTGGGTGCCGTACGAACTGAAGTCGAGAGACATCGAACGGCGTATTGTCACGTGTGAACAGCTGCTTCAACGACAAAAAAGGAAAGGTTTTTTACATTGTATTGTCACTGGTGATGAAAAGTGAATATACTACAGTAATCCGAAGCGTAAAAAATCGTGGGTTAAGCCCGGCGAAGCAGTAGCATCAACGCCAAAGCTGAATATACACGGTTCCAAGCTCATGCTCTGCATTTGGTGGGATCAGCTGGGGGTAGTGTACTACGAGCTGCTCCAACCCAACCAAACCATCACAGGAGATCTCTATCGATGACAATTGATGCGTTTGAGCATTAAAGCCGAGCATTAAAAGAAAAACGGCC